CAACTCATGGCGCCTGGGTCTGTCACGTGATCTCCTGCACATAGCCTGGTGCAGCTATAAACTCACAGCACCTGGATCTGTCACGTGATTTCCTGCACATAGCCTGGTGCAGCAGTCAACCCATAGCACCTGGGTCTGTCACGTGATCTCCTGCACCTAGCCTGGTGCAGCAGTCAACCCATGGCACCTGGGTCTGTCACGTGATCTCCTGCATCTAGCCCGGTGCAGCTGTCAACCCATGGCGCCTGGGTCTGTCACGTGATCTGCGTGGACCTCAAGGTGCACCTAGCCTGGCACAAGCGCTGTAGTGACGCGACTACGGCGGCTTTTGTTGGTGGTGGTGGTGACGACTTCTCCATCGCTCGACGCGCAGGCAAGGAGGACGGACACCTTTTTCTGGCAATAAAACAGGAGGCGTTTCGATGTTCAAACGGCAAATAGATACCATTTGCTAGGAATCCAGGCTGATGCATTGTACATTGAACTCGCATATTTTAACAGCAGCGATGCAATGTGGATACGAGAGGGTGGTCCCTTGAAAGATCCGCAGGATTCTGACTCTCTGAGCAGAGGGGATGAGGGTAGCGTCAGACAACCAAATCAGCACAAATTTTGCATTCCAATTCGGTGTCAAACTCAATAAATGAGCAGCTGCCATGTGAAGACGAGACTGTGGTACTTTATAAAGAGGCTTGCCCATAGAGGGGATGGGTTGGGTCGAGCAACCAAAACAACAACAATATTTTTTGTTCTAAATTCTGTAAGAAACGGAACTTTCGTGAGCGGCGCTGTGAATGCGAGACGGTGGCGGTGGTGGTGACGTCATCTACGGCGTCACGAAGCCCGCACGCGCCGCCAGTGGCAGGATGTCGTCCCCTGTCCTCAATGGCACCCAACCCGGCCTTGATTGCTGGCAACAAAAGGCGCACATTTGTGATGGGGTATATATTAGTTTTATTTTATTTGTACAATTACAGAAAACGAGACATTGTGGGACTTTTGGCGGAAGTACCTCCATTATAACAGCTTCCTGTAGATTATAAAATTATGTACAGCGTAATATGATTCGTAAATGTGTAACGATGAACGTACGTAGAACTTTCGCACCGTGCCAACAAGAGTAATACACTTTGTGCCAACATTATCACAACAGCAGCCAATAGGGATGAGTTAAGTGATAAATAACTGTGGCTTTACATCTTAAAGCACAATGTCTAACCATGTTTTTAAATAATTTATACTGGTCAAAGAGGCCATCGGAGATCCTATTATCCACTAGAGCTGAAAGATAAACGCCGACGGAGACTCCGATTTCTCATCGTAAATCTCATATCGAGAAGTTCTCAGCACCGCCTTATTCCAAGGCGCTTCGGAGATGACACAAATAACGCCGCTGTATGTGGAATAGAGTTGGTTCAGCGTGGGGTAGTTGGTGGATAATAAAACCGCATTCCCAGCACTGGCGATGTTGAACTGTCACGGCTAGCGGGAACTCGCGTGGCGAGTTGGCGAATTCATCCAGGATAAACCAAGTCTGATTTCTGATGTCACCACACTTATCCACGGGTCACGGATCGTCACCGCCGTGATCCGCGACTCGGTGAGGGTATCAGAGTTTCTGCACGGCAACGAGATGCTGCTTGAATCCGCGGGGGTTAATCGATTGTATTTGTAACCCGAGGGACTATCATAGATAATGATTTTGTAACACCACGGGCGAATAATAGTATCCGTTCTCCTACCTATAACTAAGGGGGATGCCATATTAGTGACGTCAATCTCCGGACCCATCCCAAGAAGGTATTTCGCGCTGCGGAAGTCCCCTCATCTAGGCCGGACCATTGGAAGTTGATTTGAATGATCGACAATGATCTGAAACTCATCCCGAGAAGTCCGCAATTCCCAACGCACGCAGACATCGGTTGCGATTCACAGGTGAACATACATCGATTAGCAGGAACGTGAAACCACGCGCACACAGACACGACGTGAATTACCCTGCTTGGTTCGCCTCGTCTTCTGCGGAGGGACGACGGTTTGCTGTTAGCGAGCACCTATTAAGGCCATCGCGGCGCACGGACAAGACAGGTAAAGATCGCCCCCCCCCCCCTTCCTCCCGTAAAGCTTTAACAAGCTTTTTGGGGCAAGTGCCGTCAGCGAGCACCTATTAAAAGCCGGCACGGCACAAGGTGAGGGGGGGGGAGTGAATGGTTGGCCAGCACCACGCCCTGCCGCCTTTGTCTCCCCAGATACTCATTTGGGTCGGAGTCGACCGCCCCAATCAGACACGGGTTCGTAGCGCAGTGCTAACCGCTGCACCACCGCTCCCCATGGGACACGGGTTTGTAGCGCAGTGCTAACCGCTGCACCACCGCTCCCCATGGGACACGGGTTCGCTGACACGCACCCAAAATTGCGTTTAACGAAAAAGAATTCTCGGGGTGAATTGTGCGTAAAAAGAATAATCCGATTGCACATTTTTAGAACAATAATTGACGATGTAAACCTTTTGAGTTACGGTATCATTTGGTCCATTGAGTGACAGGGCAGCTGCGTTGTAAGGGTTTGTACAGCCCGCCACCCGGCACACAACATCCTGTATAGCGACCCGCGATGGCTGCGGGCCGACACTCCAGTCACGTGGCCACCGCTTTCCCGGTGCTCCTCCCGGGGAGATGTAGTAATCTATCATAGTAGTAAATAAATTATCTATCATAGTAGTAGTAATCTATCATAGTAATAAATAACCTATCGTAGCAGTATTAATAATCTCTCCACCCGCACACCAGCACCACCAGCACCACCAGCACCACCAGCACCACCAGCACCACCACCAGGACCACCAGCACCACCAGCACCACCAGCACCACCAGCACCACCAGCACCACCAGCACCACCAGCACCACCACCAGCACCACCACCACCACATCTCTTGGCTGTGACGACTCCAGCACTTAGCGCCGTGTGAGCCAGGCGGGAAATGGAGAGATGTTGATTGCACTGTGGACTTTGTTCGCACCGTACGCAGAGAGATTGCCCCCCCCCCTTCACACAACACACGTAGAGCACAGACGCGACGGTACAGACAGACGCTCGCCCTGCCAAGTGGCGTCCTTCCAAGAGTCACGTCGCACAGGACACACGACACGGAGAGATGACGACACGACACGGACAGACGCTGCCACTCAGTGGTGATGGGTGGTGTCGGTGGTGGTGGTGTCGGTGGTGGTGTCGTGGTGGTGGTCGTGGTGGTGGTCGTGGTGGTGGTCGTGGTGGTGGTGGTGTCGTGGTGGTCGTGGTGGTGGTGTCGTGGTGGTGGTGTCGTGGTATTTGTGGTGTCGTGGTGGTGGTGTCGTGGTGGTGGTGTTGTGGTTGTGGTGGTGTCGTGGTATTTGTGGTGTCGTGGTGGTGGTGTCGTGGTGGTGGTGTCGTGGTGGTGGTGTCGTGGTGGTGGTGTCGTGGCGGTGGTGGTGTCGTGGTGGTGTCGTGGCGGTGGTGGTGTCGGTGTCGTGGTGGTGGTGGTGTCGGTGTCGTGGTGGTGGTGTCGTGTTGGTGTCGGTGTCGTGGTGGCGGTGGTGTCGTGGTGGTTGTGGTGTCGTGGTGGTGGTGGTGTCGTGGTGTCGTGGTGGTGTCATGGTGGTGGCGGTGGTGTCGTGGTGGTGGTGTCGTGGTGGTGTCGTGGTGGTGGCGGTGGTGTCGTGGTGTCGTGGGTTGTCAGCACACGAAGCCCTCGACATCCGCTCCACGCACGAGCCGAAGCTCGCGGGTTCGAGTCCATCTCCCGGCGTGGCCGTGAAGCAGGAGTGGGGGTCTCAACATTCCCACCCACTCGCCCCCCCCCCCCAACCTCGGCCACCTCTGTCCACCCACAGCGGTATGAATGGATTCACCCGCAAGTTGCTCTCTGATGGGTGGGTCTCGTGTGGTGGGGTAAAGCGTGGGTAACTGCTGCAGGAGAAGTGGGCCCATGACCTTGCGAGCCGGAGCCTGCAGGGCTGCGCCCCCCTCGCCTCCATTTCTATCAGCGCTGCAATCTTCCTCCGGCAAACAGAGCACAGGATACAATCTTATTGTAAATTGTAAATCTGTTCTTGCTTCTCGCCACGTGTTGCCGATGGGTATGTAAAATACTGCAGTGTTGCAACCCACCAATAGCACAACCCCCACACTCTACCCACAGCTCGGTCTGGACGTCTCCTGCAAAAAAACCCAGAAACCGGCTCCACTTGGTCTCATCAGTGAGGCAGCGGGACGCCTGTGGCCGCGTCCACAGCACTCAAGTGCTGCCGCCGCCACCACCACCACTACCACCACCACCACTAGCACTGCTGCCACCACCACCACTAGCACTACCACCACTAGCACTGCTGCCTCCACCACTGCCACCACCACCACTAGCACTGCTGCCTCCACCGCCACCACTAGCACTGCTGCCACCACCACCACTAGCACTACCACCATTAGCACTGCTGCCTCCACCACTGCCACCACCACCACTAGCACTGCTGCCTCCACCGCCACAACTAGCACTGCTGCCACCACCACCACTAGCACTACCACCATTAGCACTGCTGCCTCCACCACTGCCACCACCACCACTAGCACTGCTGCCTCCACCGCCACAACCACTACCACCCCTAGCACTGCTGCCTCCACCACTGCCACAACCACCACTAGCACTGCTGCCTCCACCATCACCACTAGCACTGCTGCCTCCATCGCCACGACCACAGCGGCCACCGACGTCACCACGACTGCCCCCCCCCCTCCGCCTCGCTCAGAGCGACACGGGGGCACGTGATCACGTGAGCACGCGCTGCTCCAGCAGCTCCAGCAGCACGTGATCACGTGCTGCTCACGTGATCACGTGAGCACGCGCTGCTCCAGCAGCTCCAGCAGCACGTGAGCACGCGTGCTCACGTGAGCACGCGTGCTCACGTGAGCACGTGATCACGTGAGCACGCGCTGCTCCAGCAGCACGTGAGCACGTGCCCCGTGTCGCTCAGAGCGACACGGGGCACGTGAGCACGCGCTGCTCCAGCAGCACGCTGGCGAGCAGGAAGAGCACGTAGAGCGCCAGCATCGCGCCTCCCAGCGTCCGCGTCATCACCCAGCGGCTGGCCGCCACCGTGCCGATGAGCAGCACGAGCATGAGCAGGAGTAGCACCAGGGCGCAGAAGAGGCCGTTGCTGCTCACGCCGATGGGCGCGAGGCCGTGCGACAGCGAGAAGAGCAGCCACGGCACGGGCAGCCTGGGGGCAGCGGGGGGGGGGGGGGGAGGTGTTGCTCACCGGCTCACGCGCCCACTCACTCGCCCCACGTGGAGCCGCTCGCCCCACGTGGAGCCGCTCGCCCCACGTGGAGCCGCTCGCCCCACGTGGAGCCACTCGCCCCCACGTGGAGCCACTCGCCCCCACGTGGAGCCACTCGCCCCCACGTGGAGCCACTCGCCCCCACGTGGAGCCACTCGCCCCCACGTGGAGCCACTCGCCCCCACGTGGAGCCACTCGCCCCCACGTGGAGCCACTCGCCCCCACGTGGAGCCACTCGCCCCCACGTGGAGCCACTCGCCCCCACGTGGAGCCACTCGCCCCCACGTGGAGCCACTCGCCCCCACGTGGAGCCACTCGCCCCCACGTGGAGCCACTCGCCCCCACGTGGAGCCACTCGCCCCCACGTGGAGCCACTCGCCCCCACGTGGAGCCACTCGCCCCCACGTGGAGCCACTCGCCCCCACGTGGAGCCACTCGCCCCCACGTGGAGCCACTCGCCCCCACGTGGAGCCACTCGCCCCCACGTGGAGCCACTCGCCCCCACGTGGAGCCACTCGCCCCCACGTGGAGCCACTCGCCCCCACGTGGAGCCACTCGCCCCCACGTGGAGCCACTCGCCCCCACGTGGAGCCACTCGCCCCCCACGTGGAGCCACTCCCCCCCACGTGGAGCCACTCCCCCCACGTGGAGCCACTCCCCCCACGTGGAGCCACTCCCCGCACGTGGAGCCACTCCCCCCACGTGGAGCCACTCCCCCCACGTGGAGCCACTCCTCCCACGTGGAGCCACTCCCCCCACGTGGAGCCACTCCCCCCACGTGGAGCCACTCCCCCCACGTGGAGCCACTCCCCGCACGTGGAGCCACTCCCCGCACGTGGAGCCACTCCCCGCACGTGGAGCCACTCCCCGCACGTGGAGCCACTCCCCCCCACGTGGAGCCACTCCCCCCCACGTGGAGCCACTCGCTCCCACGTGGAGCCACTCGCTCCCACGTGGAGCCACTCGCTCCCACGTGGAGCCACTCGCTCCCACGTGGAGCCACTCGCTCCCACGTGGAGCCACTCGCTCCCACGTGGAGCCACTCGCTCCCACGTGGAGCCACTCGCTCCCACGTGGAGCCACTCGCTCCCACGTGGAGCCACTCGCTCCCACGTGGAGCCACTCGCCCCCACGTGGAGCCACTCGCCCCCACGTGGAGCCACTCGCCCCCACGTGGAGCCACTCCCCCCCACGTGGAGCCACTCCCCCCACGTGGAGCCACTCCCCCCCACGTGGAGCCACTCCTCCCACGTGGAGCCACTCCCCCCACGTGGAGCCACTCCTCCGCACGTGGAATTCCACTCTGGGCATGAAGTGCAGGGCGCTCGCCGCTGCGCTCCCCAGGACCATTTACAAAACAACCCCCACGGTCTCCCACAGAGATAATCGCTGCTCACCGCCCAGCAGCGTAATCCCCCCCCGTCTCCCCCCCCCCCCCCCCCCGTCTCTCCAGCTGCTCCCCTCCGGGACCCCATTAATTTTGAATGAGACGGCTGCTGATGCCACGCCGAGACTTAAATGCAGATAAAGACACGGACAGGGATAGAGGGACACGCTGACACGGACAAGGAGATGGACGATGACACTGAAACAGGGATGATGAGACGCTGATCCAAGGGCTGAGGTACAGAGACACTTGCAAAGGAACGACGAGATACTTAGACCACGAGACCTACAGGGACAATGAGGTAGACCATGAGACCTACAGGGACAATGAGGTAGACCATGAGACCTACAGGGACAATGAGGTAGACCACGAGACCTACAGGGACAATGAGGTAAACCATGAGACCTACAGAGACAATGAGGTAGACCATGAGACCTACAGGGATAATGAGGTAGACCATGAGACCTACAGGGACAATGAGGTAGACCATGAGACCTACAGGGATAATGAGGTAGACCATGAGACCTACAGGGACAATGAGGTAGACCATGAGACCTACAGGGATAATGAGGTAGACCATGAGACCTACAGGGACAATGAGGTAGACCACGATATGCATGGACAATGAGATAGACCACGAGACCTACAGGGACAATGAGATAGACCATGAGACCTACAGGGGCAATGAAATGATGATACAAGGCCCGTGAGATAGACACGCGGACACGTGTTGGGCAGTGACAGACCAATACAAGGGCAATGAGACACGGGGACAATGACTTGGATATTGAGTGCTGGACCAGGGAGCCAGAGAGAGCGGATTGGCTCGCCCATCCACCAACAAAGCGACCCACCTGCTCCTGATGCTCCTACAGCCTCGTCCATTGGCCCACTCGCCCACCTAACCACCCACTCGCCCACCTAACCACCCACTCGCCCACCTAACCACCCACCCGACGGTGATGTCGAAGATGTTGCTGCCCACGGAGCTGGAGACGGCCATGTCCCCCAGGCCCTTGCGAGCGACGATGACGCTCGTGATGAGGTCCGGGATGGACGTCCCCGCTGCCAGGATGGTGAGTCCCATAATCTCCTCGCTGATTCCCATCGTCTCTCCCACCTCGCAGCACGAGAGGGAGGAAGCACGCATTGTTGGAAAATCTTATCGGTTATTCACAGTCGATGAACATTGCATTGGATCGGTGACCCGGGATCAGTGACCCAGGGTTTGGCATCTCAATACTTTCCGCAGCGCTGCTTGCTGCTGGGCCGCCTTGGAGAGCGGCGACCCGGCATCACAGTCGCTGCCGCTACAGCCACGGGCGTCCGTACCTGGTGCGCCCACCACACCATGAGGTAGGAGAAGAGCGCGATCCACACGATGGAGCCCAGGAAGGTGACCACGAAGTACTGCCGCGCTGCCTGGGAACGCCCGCACAGAGGGGGCGGGGGGGGGCTTACCGGCGAGCACTCCGCTGACCCAACCACTCGCCCACCGACCCACCTGCCCACCCACGAACCCACTGACCCACCCACTCGCCCACTGACCCACTCGTCTGCCAGCCCACTCGCCCACTGACCCACCCACTCGCCCACTGACCCACTCGTCTGCCCGCCCACGAACCCATTGACCCACCCAATGCCCCACTCCGAGTCGGGCGCGCTGCGCCACGGCACCTGAGTTTGAGGCTTCCCACAGCGCGCTCCGCCTCGCCCCGCCCCGCACCGTGGCTTCCCTCCCTGCTGGGAGGACGGCGCCGGGCAGCTGGTCACAGACGTCGAATTGAGCGGCAGCAGAGGGGAACGCGATGCGTCCCGAGATGAAGATCGATGCGACGATGTCTCTACCCTGGGTGTGTGTGGGGGGGTGATGCTGGCCACCCACACCCTTCGTGTGCCACACCCTTCGTGTGCCACACTGCTGGCTTTCGTAGACGCTGCTACCCGTTAACAGCACTTGCCCCAACAGTCTGTTAGCGATACAGGGTGGGGCGGGATCTTTGCGTGGGGGGTGGTAGGGGCGGCGGTGGTCACAAAGATCCCCCGTGTAGTCTCACCAGACTGTAGGGGCAAGTGCTGTTAGCGAGCACCTACGAAGGCCGGCACGGCACATGAGGGCGTGGGTGGCCGCCATCACACCCGGCCGCTTTTGTCTCCCTCGTGACAATGTTTACAAACCGCACCAGGTACTCATTTGAGGCCGAGTCGATCTCGGGGAGGCCCAGGACCGATTCAGATCATCGTCGCTGGTGTGGGTGGCCCGCGAGCGGAATTCGAAATCGGGCCGCCCGATTAGCAGCGCTGCACGCGAACCTCTACACTACCACTCCCCCATAACACTCCCCCATAACACTCGCACACACTCCCCCATAACACTCGCACAGACACTCGCACAGACACTCGCACAGACACTCGCACAGACACTCGCACAGACTCCCCCATAACACTCGCACAGACACTCGCACAGACACTCGCACAGACTCCCCCATAACACTCGCACAGACACTCACACACTCCCCCATAACACTCGCACAGACACTCCCCCATAACACTCGCACAGACACTCCCCCATAACACTCGCACAGACTCCCCCATAACACTCGCACAGACACTCCCCCATAACACTCGCACAGACACTCCCCCATAACACTCGCACAGACTCCCCCATAACACTCGCACAGACACTCGCACAGACACACTCGCACAGACACTCGCACAGACTCCCCCATAACACTCGCACAGACACTCGCACAGACACTCGCACAGACTCCCCCATAACACTCGCACAGACACTCGCACAGACACTCGCACAGACTCCCCCATAACACTCGCACAGACACTCGCACAGACACTCGCACAGACTCCCCCATAACACTCGCACAGACACTCGCACAGACTCCCCATAACACTCCAGACACTCGCACAGACACTCGCACAGACACTCGCACAGACCTCGCACAGACTCCCCATAACACTCGCACAGACACTCGCACAGACTCCCCCATAACACTCGCACAGACACTCGCACAGACTCCCCCATAACACTCGCACAGACACTCGCACAGACTCCCCCATAACACTCGCACTAACACTCGCACAGACTCCCCCATAACACTCGCACAGACACTCGCACAGACACTCGCACAGACTCCCCCATAACACTCGCACAGACTCTCACACAGACACTCGCACAGACTCCCCCATAACACTCGCACAGACACTCGCACAGACACTCGCACAGACTCCCCCATAACACTCGCACAGACACTCGCACAGACTCCCCCATAACACTCGCACTAACACTCGCACAGACACTCGCACAGACTCCCCCATAACACTCGCACAGACACTCGCACAGACACTCGCACAGACACTCGCACAGACTCCCCCATAACACTCGCACAGACTCTCACACACTCCCCCACACGGACTCGCACAGACTCTCCCACGCACTCGCACACTCCCCCACGCACTCCCCCACGCACGGACCCCCCTGCGTACCGGCTTGCGCACGTCGGGCAGCGTGAGCCACAGGGGGAACACGATGGGGAGCACGAGGAGGTAGATCGCGCGCTTGCGCGTCGAGTCCGGCCACGCCAGGCTCATGGGCTCCTCGATCGCCTCGTCTCCGTCGTCACCGTCGTCACCCACCTCGTCGTCGTCGTCGCACTGGAGCTGTGTGGACAAGCGGGTGGGTGCACAAGGAGAGGTCACGCAGCGGGCTCGCTCGCCCCGTGTCGCCCGCTCGCTCGCCCCGTGTCGCCCGCTCGCTCGCCCCGTGTCGCCCGCTCGCTCGCCCCGTGTCGCCCGCTCGCTCGCCCCGTGTCGCCCGGGATGGGCCGGCGGGCCATGGGGAGAGAGCGGCGCTCGGGGCTCTGCCGCGAGTCTCCGATGAGCACTGGTGGCTCGAAGTGTTTAAAGTACACGCATGCACACTCTGTTGGTGTCTGTGCGAGTCTGTCTCTATGGAGCCTATGAATCTGTGTGAGTCTATGGGTCTCTGCGCGAGTCTATGGGTCTCTGCGCGAGTCTATGGGTCTCTGCGCGAGTCTATGGGTCTCTGCGCGAGTCTATGGGTCTCTGCGCGAGTCTATGGGTCTCTGCGCGAGTCTATGGGTCTCTGCGCGAGTCTATGGGTCTCTGCGCGAGTCTATGGGTCTCTGCGCGAGTCTATGGGTCTCTGCGCGAGTCTATGGGTCTCTGCGCGAGTCTATGGGTCTCTGCGCGAGTCTATGGGTCTCTGCGCGAGTCTATGGGTCTCTGCGCGAGTCTATGGGTCTCTGCGCGAGTCTATGGGTCTCTGCGCGAGTCTATGGGTCTCTGCGCGAGTCTATGGGTCTCTGCGCGAGTCTATGGGTCTCTGCGCGAGTCTATGGGTCTCTGCGCGAGTCTATGGGTCTCTGCGCGAGTCTATGGGTCTCTGCGCGAGTCTATGGGTCTCTGCGCGAGTCTATGGGTCTCTGCGCGAGTCTATGGGTCTCTGCGCGAGTCTATGGGTCTCTGCGCGAGTCTATGGGTCTCTGCGCGAGTCTATGGGTCTCTGCGCGAGTCTATGGGTCTCTGCGCGAGTCTATGGGTCTCTGCGCGAGTCTATGGGTCTCTGCGCGAGTCTATGGGTCTCTGCGCGAGTCCTATGGGTCTCTGCGCGAGTCTATGTGTCTCTGCGCGAGTCTATGGGTCTCTGCGCGAGTCTATGTGTCTCTGCGCGAGTCTATGGGTCTCTGCGCGAGTCTATGGGTCTCTGCGCGAGTCTATGGGTCTCTGCGCGAGTCTATGGGTCTCTGCGCGAGTCTATGGGTCTCTGCGCGAGTCTATGGGTCTCTGCGCGAGTCTATGGGTCTCTGCGCGAGTCTATGGGTCTCTGCGCGAGTCTATGGGTCTCTGCGCGAGTCTATGGGTCTCTGCGCGAGTCTATGGGTCTCTGCGCGAGTCTATGGGTCTCTGCGCGAGTCTATGGGTCTCTGCGCGAGTCTATGGGTCTCTGCGCGAGGTCTATGGGTCTCTGCGCGAGTCTATGGGTCTCTGCGCGAGTCTATGGGTCTCTGCGCGAGTCTATGGGTCTCTGCGCGAGTCTATGGGTCTCTGCGCGAGTCTATGGGTCTCTGCGCGAGTCTATGGGTCTCTGCGCGAGTCTATGGGTCTCTGCGCGAGTCTATGGGTCTCTGCGCGAGTCTATGGGTCTCTGCGCGAGGTCTATGGGTCTCTGCGCGAGTCTATGGGTCTCTGCGCGAGTCTATGGGTCTCTGCGCGGGTCCTATGGGTCTCTGCGCGAGTCTATGGGTCTCTGCGCGAGTCTATGGGTCTCTGCGCGAGTATATGGTCTCTGCGCGAGTCTATGGGTCTCTGCGCGAGTCTATGGGTCTCTGCGCGAGTCTATGGGTCTCTGCGCGAGTCTATGGGTCTCTGCTCTGCCAGTCTAGGTCTCTGCGCGAGTCTATGGGTCTCTGCGCGAGTCTATGGGTCTCTGCGCGAGTCTATGGGTCTCTGCGCGAGTCTATGGGTCTCTGCGCGAGTCTATGGGTCTCTGCGCGAGGTCTATGGGTCTCTGCGCGAGTCTATGGGTCTCTGCGCGAGTCTATGGGTCTCTGCGCGAGTCTATGGGTCTCTGCGCGAGTCCTATGGGTCTCTGCGCGAGTCTATGGGTCTCTGCGCGAGTCTATGGGTCTCTGCGCGAGTCTATGGGTCTCTGCGCGAGTCTATGGGTCTCTGCGCGAGTCTATGGGTCTCTGCGCGAGTCTATGGGTCTCTGCGCGAGTCTATGGGTCTCTGCGCGAGTCTATGGGTCTCTGCGCGAGTCTATGGGTCTCTGCGCGAGTCTATGAATACGATAGGCACGTGTCGGCACAGGGCCCTAATGGAAGCTCCCTCTCTCTCCCTCTCGCTCCCTCTCGCTCGCCCCACTCCTGCGCCTTCGCCCGGGGCCCTGGGACCCCTTTGGGCTCCCCCTGTGCAGTTGCACCGCCTGCGCACTTGGCAGCCGCACCGATGCTCCAGGCTCGGGACAGACGAGCTCTGGTTGTGGGATTCTGCTGGAGTCGGTCTTAATCCAGCAGTGGATGGAACACTGCCGATCTCCGATGGGATCTCGGCCGCGTTACTTTGTGAACGCGTCTGTCTGCTACCTGCATTCATCGGCGCTGCAACTCGCCATTGACAGCACTTGCCCCAACAGTGAAGCTGTATGGCGAGGGGGGACCTTTGGCTTTGCACGTGGCCTGGAATCACTGTGGAGGCATCGGCGAGGAGTTAGCGCCACGGTGGTTAGGGGATGTTTACTACCTCGCCTGGCACGCAGGAGGCCGTGGGTTCCATGCCGACGCCTGCTGCTGTATGTGTGGAGTCTGCGTGTCTCTCCCCGTGGTCGCGTGGATTTCTCTCTGGGGTTCCTACGACGTTTTTTATTTACATCTCCCCCCTCTACATTTAGAATCGCCAACAAGGTTACGCGTTTTAGAGTATTTTGGCTGCTACTCTACATTTCTACGCCAAGATGACGATGACAATGGATTCACGAATGAAGAGCTATCATTCGTGATAGCCAGGTCGTTGCTGGAAAAGTTAAGTATATCTTAGCTCACAGTGTGAGCCTTACACCGGGTCAATGAAAAAAATAAACAAAAATATATAGTTTGAAAGTGTAGTATAGAGTTGTAGCTCTCACAGGTGGAGCCGTCTCGGCTTGGCTCCATCATGAGCCTCGCCTCCCCCCCCATGACCTCACCGACTGAAGCGAGGAGTCGTAGTTTTGGTAGCTGACCACCCCGCCGCCACCGCCGCTGACGCCGGGCGACTGGGAGAGCAGCACGTGGTGCCCAGGATCCGTCCCAGCTGGGCCCGCGGCCGACGCTGCCTCGGTAGCAAAGACAAAGGTGCCCTTGAACAGACTGTTGGGGCCAAGTGCCGTTAGGAGCGAGTAGCAGCAGTAGCAGCAGCTATTAAGGCCGGCGCTGTGGCACACAGGAAGGATGTTGTGGGCGATAGCGGTGGTGGCGGATACTGCGCGGAGCAATACGCGCACTGGACGTTTGAGACCCCGTGGCATCATCAGCAAAAGGCACGTCATCCATGGGGTGCCAAAATTCCTCAATAGGGATCACGTAGCAGCAGCAGCGGGAGCTGCAGTCGGTGCTCCCCACTCTACTGGCAGCAGGCCAATGGGCTGCTACAAGCAAGGTTATAGAGTCGTCCTTGGGCCGCAAAGGGACAGCTGCCACTGGGGGTGCCCGTTAAGATGCGTCGAGATGAGGCGCATGACAAAGCGCTCCGGGGCAACCTAGCATCTACGGCGCTACAATAAATCATTACCATGCTGTGGGCACTAGCACCGTGGGGTGCTGTGGGCGCTGTGGGCACTGTGGGCACTGTGGGCGCCATGGGCGCCGTGGGTGCCGTGGGTGCTGTAGGCGCTGTGGGTGCCGTGGGTGTTGTGGGTGCTGTAGGCGCTGTGGGTGCCATGGGTGTTGTGGGTGCTGTAGGCGCTGTGGGTGCCATGGGTGTTGTGGGTGCTGTAGGCGCTGTGGGTGCCGTGGGTGTTGTGGGTGCTGTAGGCGCTGTGGGTGTTGTGGGCGCCGTGGGCGCCGTGGGTGGTGTGGGTGTTGTGGGTGCTGTAGGCGCTGTGGGTGTTGTGGGTGCTGTAGGCGCCGTGGGTGCTGTGGGTGTTGTGGGTGCTGTAGGCGCTGTAGGTGCCGTGGGTGTTGTGGGTGCTGTAGGCGCTGTGGCTGCCGTGGGTGTTGTGGGTGCTGTAGGCGCTGTGGGTGTTGTGGGTGCTGTGGGCGCCGTGGGCACTGTGGGTGCTGTAGGCGCTGTGGGTGCCGTGGGTGGTGTGGGTGCTGTGGGTGCTGTGGGTGCTGTAGGCGCTGTGGGTGCTGTGGGTGCTATAGGCGCTGTGGGTGTTGTGGGTGCTGTAGGCGCTGTAGGCGTCGTGGGTGTTGTGGGTGGTGTGGGCGCTATGGGCGCTGTGGGTGCTGTAGGTGCCGTGGGCGCCGTGGGTGTTGTGGGTGCTGTAGGCGCTGTGGGTGGTGGTGTTGGGTGCCGTGGGCAGGAGCCTGGCTTGGCTTGCCTTCAGCCTGTGGCTCATCCCGCTGCATCTTCGCCACGCGATGGAGGATCGCAGCCTTCTCTTGGAACTGGGCTGCTGGCACCACCACAACAAGAATAACAGTGATATTACAGCGACGTTGCCACGACGTTGCCACGACGTCACGATGCCGCAGGACGGTCGTGCAGTCGGAACGCTCGTTCCCAGCTCACGGCAACAAAAGGGCTCGGATTTCGATCCTCGACTCGTGCGTGACGTGTGCGCGTGACCCTGACCTGTGGGCGCATGCCGATAAAAGCCATCCAATCCACACGTGACACCCGATAGAGGCCACCACGGCCGCCACCGAGTAGCAGGTACGCCCACGTGTGAAATGACCCATCCGTCGAAGACAAAGATTCCCCGTAAAGCCCGCGACAGATTGTTGGGGCAAGTGCTGCTTAGTAGTCACGAGTGGCAGCAGCGCGCACATGCAGGCCGCCACTGCGGCACACGAGCGGGGAGAAGGGGTGGAGGGTCCCGGCACCACGCACTGCCGTCTGTGCCTCCCCAGTGGCGAAATGTTTTGCTTTGGTTTATTACACACGGCGCCAGATACATATTTGAGGCCGAGTCGACCTAGGGGTGGGAGAAGCGCAGGAACTGGCTTGAGAATTCGCTGCCACAGTAGCCACTGAGATAACTATTCACACGTATTCATAATACAAGTTTTTGGGTGAGATCGCGTAAGTATAAATGTGCAGTAACCCTCCACCACCCGACACGGCCCGTGAGGTTTGTCACGTAAACAACGCGCCTATTAGTTTACTACTCCAGACCACCGGTGCGTTGGTGAGTATATCCACAACATTTACAATTAGAATCCTGTGACGTTCCGCTGGTAATTACATCAGCCAGCATCATCGGGAGATTTGCCATAACAGTGAAGCCATCCACCTGCTCCCGGTCTTGAAGAGAGCAGCAGCAGCAGCAGGCCGACGTCACCGCTGAACCCATCAGGTGCAGAGATCAGAGGCGGAGGAGGGGGGTATTGTAATTAACAATTGTTAGATATGTAGATGACACTTTGGTTGTCTGGCCATATGGCAAAGATACACTTAATGCATTTATAAACCATCTCAATTCGCAAAACCCGTCCATCCAGTTCAACATGGAAATGGAGGTGAATAACACACTCTCATTCCTGGATATTTTGCTCAGACACGTCATAAATGGTTAAACAGACAGCGTTTACCAAAAGGAAACGCACACTGATGCCTATCTGAATGCAGATTCGCATCATCACCCCCGCACATAAATGATGTCATCAAGAAGCTCACACATCGGGCTAAAACAGTGTCAGATGGTGAACGTCTGATGAGAGAGATTAAACATGTTAAAGAAGCGCTACGATTAAATGGCTACAATAATGCTCAAATTAACAGAGCATTGAATGCCAAACCAAGATTGAACAGCAATACTGCTGAAAGCGATTAGGTTATTAAAACAATTAAAATACCATATGTTGCGAGATGTACTGACAAACGAGCTAGAATTTTGGAAAAACTAAAAATCAGAGTAAGATTTGGCACGGTACACAACATTCAAAAAACAGTATCTTGCACTAGAGATGAATTGCCTAAGTTATCAACAGAGGGTGTGTATCGGATTATTTGATTATGTGGCAGATGCTATATTGGACAGACGGATCGTAACATTAGCGTACGATTAAAACAACACCAAATAAACATTAAATACTCTCAAACACAACTGTCGGCAGTGGCTCAACACGCTTGCCAACAAGGGCACTCAATTGATTTTGATAACGTTGAAGTGTTGTGCCAAACTAATTATTGCTGGCCGAGACTAATTGGAGAATCTATTGAAATGGAGAGAAATACCAATCATTTTAACCGCTCTGACAGCTACAGGCTGAGCGTGGCCTGGGAGCGTATTATTAAGTATATTACACATCACAACTATTTCTTATAGAGGAAACACATGCTAATTAACTGATTAATAATCTATTATTAATTACAATACCTCCCCCACTCCTCCTCCGCCTCTGATCTCTGCACCTGATGGGTTCAGCGATGACGTCGTCCTCCTGCTGCTGCTGCTGCTGCTCTTAAAGACCGGGAGCAGGTGGATTGCTTCACTGTTGCGGCAAATCGCCCGATGATGCTGGCCGATGTAATTGCCAGCGAAACGTCACGGGATTCTAATTGTAAATGTTGTGGATTTACTCTCCAACACACCGGTGGGCTGGAGTAGAAACTAATTGGCGCGTTGTTTACGTGACAAACCTTACTGGCCGTGTAGGGTGGTGGAGGGTTATGACACATTTATACTTATGCGATCTCACCCGAAAACCTTTATCATGAATAATCTTGGTCACGAAAGCCGACGTGTTTAACTAGTCACGTGTATATTAACATCTTATTAATCCGGTCATCAGAAAACATTCTGAATAATGTAATTATCACCAGGGTCCCATCGATCTAAGTGGAGTAAACAATTATAGATTTAAAGCTTTCGTGACTGCAAGGATTCATATTCTTAGATTTTTTTTCGGTAAAGTCACGTAGGTAAAAATTAAATCAAAGTAAAATAAAATAATTTTATTTTTTACCTACGTGACTTTACCGAAAAAACCTAAGAATATGGAGTAACCAACTCGTTTTACCGCATCGACCTCGCCTCTCCTGGTCTCAATGTTTATTAGGGGCCGTCCATAAATGACGTCACGCACCTGGGGGGGAGGTCAGACATTTGTGCCGATGGGGGCGGGGGGGTTTGAGAAATGTGACATCACATCAAAATGTGCAACTTTAAGTAAATATATACACGTTCTTCTAATTAGACTTTTTAATGTTTTCCACTACATCAGAGTGCAGCGCCACATTAAATACACACTACAATGACAATAGTTAAGCGATTTAAAGCTTTCGTGACTGCAGGGATTCATCTTCTTGGTTCTTTCTTTACCGAAAGAACCAAGAAGATGAATAGTTAATCGATTTGAAGAATGTTTTTTTTTTGTGGGGGGGGGGGGGGGGCAGATCTTTGTGACGTCATATTTGAGGGGGGTCTGACTTTGTGACGCCGTGTGACGAAGGGGGGGGGGGGTCAAAAATCGTAAAAAATCGCGTGACGTCATTTATAGACGGCCCCTTATTATATAATACTAGTGGGAAGTAGCCGGCGTTGCGCGGGCAAAAATTATATTTCAAAACTTATCTTAAAACCCTTACGTATACATACACATATACTAAGGTATTGTGAAAGCCCAGTGGGCCGTTTGTCTATTTCTCCACCAACAAAATGATAAGAGGCTTGCACAAATCCAAAACGTTATAGAAAGTGGGGGGTAAATGGTTGATCTAAAAAGGTTACCGAATATATTTACCCCCACGTAGGTGTATATACCTACACACCCTACATACAAAGGAAGCAGTATCTATTGACTCTGTAGTATCTACCGACTCTATCGTAGTATATATTAACTCTATAGCAGTATCTACTCACTCTATAGCAGTATCTACTCACTCTAGTATCTACTGACTGTAGCAGTATTTACTCACCATAGTGGTATATACTGACTGTTTTAGTATCTACTAACTCTATATAGCAGTATCTACCAACTCGATAGCAGTATCTACTATTACTACAGCAGTGCATACCGACTGGTGGTACCTGCTATGATTACAGAAGTGCATACTGACTGTGGTGGTACCTGCTATGAATACAGCAGTGCAAACTGACTATGGTGGTACCTGCTATCACTACAGTAGTACATGCTGACTCTAAAGCAGTATACATCGACTCTATAGCACAAAGTACTCACCTGACAAGAGTGCCGTGGTGAGGCCTAGACCCGTGCAGAGCCCCCGCCCTCGCCTAGATGGCCCAGCCGGCAGAGGCTGTGGTCCGAGTCGCTACCCCCGCCCACCATCCCCCTGCCCACGCTACAATGATACTATCCAAGCGCTATAATAGTAGTATGTACCGACCCTATAGTAGTAAGTGCACACATTGGGGTGGGACATGACACTGATGAATTTACCTGCATTTTGAACGCGAAGGTGAAATCCCCCCCCACCCTCCACCAGGGGCAACTCCCGTCAGCGTTTCGCGCATGCGCAATGGCGTGCTTTGTCTCACGCCAGGCGGCAAAAGTAAATAAAGAAAAATCGCACAAAACGCTGTTTTTACACGCTTTTATTTAACTCAATCTGTTGTTGTCATATCCTCAAATCTTGTAACTCAATTTTAACCCACTTCCAAATGTGCTATCGACTGCAAACTTGGTATACTTGTGTCATACTGATGACAATACTATATTCTATCATTATTTTTTGTATGTTATGTTTCGGCTTGGGTCTAATTGTCCACACACAACTGACGTTGGCTATAAATCACCACGGCCCCTCACGTTATGACAAGCTTTGCGGCCACTTCCTGGAATCGTGGATTTCTGCCATTACTCGTACGGTACATTTCATTAAAGCGTGTTTAAAAAAAACGTTTTTTTAAATATTACTTATTAATAACTTAAAGGTGACGGACGTGGAACAGGAATAGCCTATGCTAAGCACGGGGCTTACGGCGTGGTACCCGGCTAATTTTTTTTACGAAACCCCACAGTTCACGAGCCAAATCCTTTGCAAGCGCGCGTAGGCAGACAGATGGACAGACACAAAATGCCTTTTATTAAACAGGACCCTGCGGGGTGGGCTGGTAGGAACGAATAACCAAAGAATATAAACAATGTATTATTACACTTGTTTAGCCAGGAAAGCCCCACTGAGTCTAAAGGTTTTTGTAGGGTCCTGCCAAGTGTTTGCAGTAGGGGACGATGTTGCTACACCAAATCGGACGATACGAAGGGAGAGTGTGAGGCATAGTTCTAGGCTTTAGGCCTAGCTGTAGGCGTTAGGCCGCTGTGAGTTAATTCTAAATTTAAATGTTTTAATTATTTATGTTAAAGCTTTAAATGTAAATGTTTCTATTTAAAAACATCAGGGAATGTAACATTGTTAAACATTAACTCCCTTTCACACACGCGGGGGTACGATACGAAGGGAGAGTTTGAGGCCTAGTTCTAGGCTTTAGGC